TATATATATATATTAGGATTAAAGTGCCTTTTAATACTTCAGGTGGTTATTTAGTATATCCGAGATTAAAGGATGTACTTTAGTCCCTGTAAAAATGTATATTTTCTTGTTTTTTAAACTAAACTGAAAGGATTACTTCGTTTATAATTAACAAAAATGTTTTTAGAAAAGCATTAAAAAAGTTACTTTATGTAAAAAAGTCCTCAAAACAAATGAATAATAAAGAAACCTTTCTATATATATATTTTAAGATATGTGATAAAAGATCTCATTCCCAAGTAAATATTCTTTGCACTTTGCTTATTTTATTAAAGCGCTGTTTTAATCCTAAGCTTTAATGTCACTTTAAATCACTTATGCATTGAATTTACTTTCGCAAAAACAAACGAACATCTATTAATGTAATTCAAATAGCTTATATCATTGACAGCCTGGCATCTAAACTTGAAATTTCGTCTTCGGAATTAAAAATGCACTTTAATCCAATGTATGCAATATTGATTTAAAAGTGCTGTTTTAATCCCTAGTTTTAGGGTCTGAAGTGTCACTTTTAATCTTTGAGGGATTAAATTTACTTTTAATAAAAAACCAGTGCGATTGAACGATGCGTAGTCATGTAACTATAGTCAAGTAAAAGTGCTATTTTCAGTTAAGTGCTACTTTTAATCCGGGAGAGATTGAACGTACTTTTAAAGCTTTTGTCAAAAACAAGCCAATTTAAATCTTGGTACATCAAAACAATATATAAAAAGTTATAATATATAAATGCAAAAATATATCTTTTCTTGAAAGACATTACTTTTTTAATAATAAACATTAAAAGTGCTTTTATTTCCTCGGGAAAAACGAAAAAGTTACAATGTAGTAAAAAATAGTCCTTAAAACAAATGAATAACAAAGAAACCCGTGATTTCGCTATTTTTTGTTTTCATACGGTTATAAATCAAGGTCAAATAGGATCGTACGGGGGTGGTTGAATTTGAATTTTGTTATATTATACTTGTGAGACTATCGATCTTATGTAAATTACATATAAAAACATTCTTCGTTTAGCAAAGCTTTATATTAATTTATGGGCCCATTTCCTGGTGTATTTTTATATTTCCTTTTTAGTTTCAGAAAAAAAATGGAAAAGCCACTAAGAAAAACTATACATCAGCTGATAATTTTGATGATGTTATGATTTTCAGCACATAATATGAATTGTGAGTAGATTTATTTTATTTATTCTTAAAATTGTAGCGACCAACGAAGTCTGAACAGAAAATTTATTTGAAATTTGAAAAAAATTCAAATTTATCCATGATCCATGTTAATTTTTGTTTATACCTCGTTAGTCGATAATATAGTAAACAATTCTATATTTAAGTTATAGAACTACATTAAAAAACCGTTTTCCAAAGAGCGGCAAAAGAATTAAGTATTTTTTAAATTTATTAATCCCGAAAAAACATTTTTCTGTGTATAGCTTATACTAGAAAACAAATTATCCTTTTTGATTCGATATTTTATTAAAACTATATTTCAATAACTGTGGCGAAACAAAATCACTTTTCTAATTTATCCTTTAAAGGGCTGTGGCTTCCTTACAACTTTTTTCATTCGACGCCTTGTATATTAACAACGGATAATGGTAAAGTATGTTCATAGATTTAAGAGAATAACTATCAACGTCTCAAAAAACAAGCAGAGGTCTATACTGAATTGTATTTCAATAATTTATTTATATTTAGCTAAGTTCTGAGCATGTTTTAAGCTGACACAGTTCTTGGTTCACATGAACTATTGAAACGATTGGTTTTGCAAGACTTCGTCTACTTATGATCACATTAGAAACATTTTACTTGTAAATTGGTGCCCAGAATCACTTGACCATTGAATTTTATGGCAACTAAACTCGGGTCGACGTAAATATCCATTCTCTTCAATCAATGAACGTACTGAATGTTACCCAACTAATACCGTCAAGTTTGTCCAAGAATGTAAAGATATAAACGTGTTCGACGTAGGGTAGATTCGTGCATTCACTTGTAAAGTTGCCCAAGCTGGGAAGAACATTTAGTATATCAATAAATAACGAGGAGAGAGGTTATGTGCAGTTTCTCGGAAAGGTGGAAGAATTTTATAGCGACATAACTTCACGATGATATATAGACTCGAAGATAGAGTCACTTTTACATATTATGTCGGAAAAAAGCTTAAATATTATTTTGTCTGGCCTATTTTTTTCTTCTCTCGTTGTGAATTCTATACTTCCAGGTAAAGCACATTTTGCAATTAATATTTAAGTAATTTTATATAAAATACAATATAAATTGACAGCAATGCTGTAAGTTGTAGCGTATTTAGTTCTGGTATATTTATAGTCTGGTACATTCATTTTTTGTTTTGCTTTTCAGGTTAGTTATGTTTTTGGCCCCCAAATTTGCCCGACTTGATTCCGAGTAAGTATGTTTGTTGGATGTTTGTTGATATCAGCATGAAACCAAAAGCGGATTCTCTGGAATTTTCAAAATGAAACTGAGGATAATACTTAAAAACGGGTTTACTTTAACTTTACAATATTTTATTGGATTAAAATTTGTATAGTGATGATGATATTTTCAAGACGGATAACAAAAAATAAGGGCATTTTTTTTTTTGAAAAAGGATAGGGATCAAACAGATTTAAAATTTGTACAAGAAAATTTAGATTTATTTTCAAATATTTCCAACAAAATTATTGGGTTCTGCTTGAACGGAAACTACTAAATTTTAAATATAATTTTCTCTTTTTTCATTTATAATTTAGAGATCAATAATTTTAATAAAAAAATATTACAGTAGTGAAATAATGACAATTATCCCCTAAAACTAAGCCTTTAGCATAACCTAAAATATGAATGAAATATCTGGAAAGATATCGGAGAAAATTATATTAAAAGCACCCTTATTTCTTTATGCGTTTTGAAAATATCGGCAGATGAATAAAATTTTTTGAATTAATATATACAGAGTATATGCAAAATACTTGGACAAAATAAGACCAATAGTTCCTTGGATCTAAATAAGTCAAGATTGACTTACATACATATATACAAAAGTCAACGGCTACTGAGATATAGCCCTCTCGAAGAAGCACTATTTTTTCACACAACTTTAAAATGTATGATCTACAGCTTTTTTATTTATTTAGGATATATGTATTATTAGTACACATAAGTGTTATTTTTTTAAGCCCCCACCCCTTTCACCACCTTATAACTTTTTTGTATGTACAGCTATGATATATCTAAACTACAATTTCTAATAACATTCCTATAATTTTTTTCTTATTTTTATTCACAGAACTTGAGGAAATGCCTCAAATAAAAAAATTCTTCAAAAATCAATTTTGTATTGGAAAACGTAAATTAGATAGCCACATATAAAAAAATTATAGGGTAGTCAGGGGGTAGCACCACAAAAAGTAACACTCTATATGTATTCTAATAATATATAAGATTTGAATAAATGAACATATCAACTAAGGTCATGCCATTTTAAAGTTAAATGAAAAAATGTAGTCAAAATTTTAAAACAGAGATCATACTATACTTTTCCGAAGTTTTTTGCGCTGTAGACGAAGGTTTTCGAGTTATCTTAATTTATAAGTGAGAAAAACACGATTTTTCTCTGTATTTGAGGTTAGGTTACATAACGAGGTCGTTTTCTCCACAAAACTCGTTACGGAATCTGAAAATACACTCTTTCCCTTCAAAATCTATTTTAAATCGTTCAAATGTATTCCTTTCTCTGCAAGAATCCAACCATTGAAATTGATTAGTTTGGCATATAAAGTAGCATCAGGTGGTTCTTCTTAATTTTGCGGTCGCTGATTACGAACCTGAAATCAGAATTACAATATACAAAATGGCGGACTTAATATGACGAACAAAATAAAAAACGCCATTTTGAATTTTGTGATTCTGACTTCAAATCGTAATCAGCGACCCCAAAAGCCTGGAGAGCCAGTTGCGACGTTATTCAGCTTCCGAATGGAAGAATATAACAAACTAATCAATTTATCGGGGAGGAAAAGATACATTCGAACAATTCAAAATGAATTTTAAAGAAGAATAGTACTTTCAGAAGCCATAACGAGTTTTGTGGATAAAAATTACCTCATAGTGCAACATAACCTCAAATACAGGAAAAACTGTTTTTATCTCACTTTTAGGTTAGGAGTAATTCTAAAGTCGGATTCGGATTCAGCGCGTGAAAATCTTCGGGAAAGGTGGTTTGTTAAGGGGTTATGTCTTAAATAGGTATTAAATTTTGAATATAGGTAAGTGGGTTGAAATCGACTTATTTTGATTAAAGCAATCCTTGGTCTTACGTTGTCCACATATTGTACACACATCCTGTATAACGTGCCGGTTTGTAATGCCGAATAAATCTGGTTATACTCAGTTTTTTTATCTAATATTCCGATATACACAGGAAAAATGCAAACATGAATTTTCCGGGCTAGGTGGTAGGAAATTCCAGGGAAATTGTTTTTCTCGCTTCGCACGTTGAATTTCGTAGAAATATAAAAACTGTCCGCTAGGCCGGTAGGGCGGGTATTATGAATGAACAAGGCTGGGGAACCTCTTTGGCGTAATAGCCTGAAATATTAATGGAACAATTCTCAGAAATTCCCAGAGATAAAGTTTGAATTGGGTCAGCCTTCAAGAGTAGAAATAATCAGACGACGGGGAAAGAAAGTCTTGTCGTTCGCAGATAGCCGCTTTACTATTATTATCGTTTATTGAGCGATTCCATTAAATTGAAGTCAAACGATGACAGAAATAGAAGGGGTGTTGAAATTATTACACAAGCAAGGTAGTTGGCATTCTACACAAAATTACAGGGTGTTTATCTTAGAAATAACTGAAGCTTTTCAACACAAAATACTATCCAGTGGCGTGCAATAATTTTCCACTCAAATTGTAATTTGTCGCTGTATAAAATTTTCTTTAACATAACTGACTGGGAACTTTTGCAATATCTCATACGCGAAGGAGAGTCATTCATTACTTTTTCAAAAAAAGCAAAAAGAATATTTCTCAATAAAAATACTAACAAACAAATGATTCTCAATTACATAATTTTTATATACAAAGCGTATTCAGTAATTTGGCACGCTCAAATATCGTTTACAGCAAGCAGCGTCTACCATTCAGAAGACAAGTAAAAACATACCCCTGTATAACAACGGCATCTCGCGAGTTCTGTTAGCTGCAGTTTGCAACACTATGAAATATATTCCGTCTGCGTCATCCATGATTATCACCCCACCGACTACAACCTGCTATTTCTAGTTTATTAATCGTCATAACGCAAAACAAGTCGTAAGAAAATCCTGAATAGCTCGCAGATGTTTGACACAAAAGACTTGCCTTTAAATAGTTCTAGAACGATTCTAAATATTCAACTACAATACACGATTATCTTTGTTCTTATTAATGAAGTGGTTAATTATTCCGAATCGTTTTGAAATGAAAGCAAGCCGTTAATTGCTCGATTTTAAACTGACTGGATTGGTAAAGTAGCGCAACCGACCGTTATTGTGAGGCAAAATCCATACTGCCAACCGGTTACTGCACTTGGTTAATCTAGACTTTATTTAATCAAGCAATGCCACCTACCGATGGTCTTGCAAACTAGCAACACGCATTTTGCATTGTACAGAATAAACTAATACTTAGTTTATAAAAAAAGTCTTAGCCCCAACTTAGCCTTAAATTAGCCTCAGTCTTTGCCTAACCTAGACTTAGTCCTAAGGAGGTCATAATCTGTTAACTTCTTAAGACTAAGACAAATACGCGTGCGCAAAAGTCTGTCATTCGAAAAGTATTAGGACTGAGGCTAAGACTTAGGCTTAGAGTTAAGTTACGGCCAACTTAGGACTAAGACATAGTTATAAACTCACTTAAGTGTGATTCAGATGTAAAAGCAATACGAAAAGATATTTGACACAGCGTGTACAATGTGATGTTATTTAGTGGAGTTGCTATAACACTCAACCAAGTAATTACTATTAGAGTAGACGACTGGAGGGTCAAATGAAAAAATTTCGCCTAAGCTCCTCCAAAAAGTCTACTCTTAACCAAAGCGCTTTAGTTGGAAAGTTCTTATTTTTAGTAATAAAAAAACTTTTGTAACACTACTGAAAATTTAGCATGTGTACATCGAAACTTTTACACTGTACCAAAACATTGATTGCTCCCCCTGAGCCATGCTGTATATACATACAGGGTTGTATCTGTAGGTGATTTACGATTGTAACGAAAGCTTAAGCCACAAGCCACTTCAAACTGCGTAGATATTATCGAACCGTCATTGCCTGAATGCCCGCTTCTGCGGAAGAAGATTTCTGTGTCCTCTCGAGCTTGCCTCGACAATGTTGCCGCATCATGCGGTTTCCCTAGATCTCCACATTTTTTCAAAATACAAACTACTGAGTAATTTCGTAGAGTAATTCGATTTTCTACATGTTACTAAGAGTAAATGCGCGTGTGTTCAAAATTAAGTTAAAGGGAATGTTGTTTTCTTTCTGAATATACGAAGAATAAATATTTAAACGCATATTTGTCAGAAAACTATTTCTGTAGCGGATTGTGGGTAGTTTAATGAAAAACGCTGCGACAGCGAACTGGAGTTCTTGGGGGCCGCAAGTTGGCAACACTCGCCGACGGCGTGCCTGGCAGAAGATAAAACCTACAGTATTAAAGTAACGCGAACGTCGTGTGGCAGGGTTGGAACAGTTCTACCCCCGATGCGAGAAGTAACATAAAGTTATGCAACCAACGCAACGTGCTTTTTATTTCTAATTAAATGGATTCTAATGACTTACAGTGACGATGTCGTTATCAAATTCTTGTGGCAATATGCGATGACACACAGTCTACCAGAAAAGTGAGGTTTTACTTCAGCTGTAGCTTTATTTCGCTTCACTTCACTTTCTCTCATGTTTTATATCCATAAATTTATTGCGGTGGGAAAAGGTACTGCAAAAAATACGGTAACTTGAAAAACGTCATGCTTTGATCACTTCATTTTATGTAAAATAAGGAAAGTAATAAATTAAAACCAAAAGGCAACTCCTACATTGCTGCTATTTAACTTTGCCTATAGATTTGTTCAAAATGAAAATATAACTGCTAAAAAAATAAGATTTAGCTACGAGAGAAATTTATTATACACGTAACAGAATATATTCATAGAACGAACAAGAAGGACGAAGATATATATTTAAATTCATTATTTTCCATTCATTCCTTAATTGCTCTTTTTGTCAACGTGTGTCTAATTTCAAAGGTCGTTACAAATAATAAAAAACATTTAATAACGGCAAATTATTCAAAACAGTCCCTTTATTATTCCATATCCTCCGTTAAATTACTTGTGCTATTATACCTTTCAGGCTTAAAATATCATT